AAACGGGAGAAATTTATTTTCGTTTTGTCCCGAATTCGATGTTGAAAAAGTCTAAATTCCTACAAAGCTATTTATCTTTTGATTTTTCGCGCAAAAAACCTTCAGATCGTCAGTATTTTTAAGTGAAACTCTACATAATAGGGCGTTTTTGAGTTGAAAGTAAACCAAACAAATTCAGTCAAAAGTAAAAAACCATATTTTTTTAAACAAACTCTACATACTTCAGAGGAATGGAGGTGACAAGTTTTCCAAATAATTTATTAGAAACTTTGGCTTATACTGTTCATTTTTATAGAAAATTATTTGATTTCTGCCGAAAAATAAAATTTATTTCATAATTTTTCTCGGAAAATACTTTAAGATTGTCAGTATTTTTAAGTGAATCTATAGAGAATTGAACGTTTGGAACAAAGATTAGCTATGCTAAAGCTGGACAATTCTGAAATTTTGAAGAAAATAAAAAAATATCATTAATAAATGGCACTTAAAATAAATCTAAAAACAACTAAGAAAAGATCATCAACGTTTTCCCAGCAACGGAACTGAGTTACTGCGCCGGTATATTGGGTTGGCGCACCATGCCATTTGCGCAACACTGCGTCAACTCCTAAAAATTCACTGAGCCAAAAAAACAGCCATCCGATGGTAGTTTCCGAAAAACCTAAGCCAAAACTGAGCCTGCAGGCATTTTTTCATAAGAAATCCCAATTTCAACAGATAAAAACTCCAATTTCCCAATTAAACCTTCACACTTTAAACCGCACACTTGTCGATATCATCAGCCACTTGTAATTTTTCAGGTATTACAAAACAGATCTCTTGAGCTGCGTGAAATATTTGGCCAATGCGGAACTTTTTCGCTCCCCTGCACCGCAATAAAATCAAAATTTTCACGTAAAATATAAAAATCCATCGATTTTGAGAAGTTGTTTTAAGCAAAATGCGCGTGATCTCAAATGTAGTGTCGGCTTTAATAGAGCAGCAAAACCTGCGGTTTCCCGGTGAAAAGTGTGCATCACTTCAATCGCTTGCACTAAACACTTACTTACAAAGCCCAAGTGCTTGTTCGAAATTTCTCACTCATTTTTTTGCAATTTCAACCAAATTGTCGACTTTCGAAGCCACTAGGAACCAATTAATTAGACATGGAGCCTGCAATAATGCGGTCACGTTCCATTCAACCAACCGCACTGATTTGCAACGTCCAAAACACTTTTTTATTGCTGGGTTTCCCTTGAAAATGAAGCCTTAAGAAAGAAGCAGTTTTTCAGATTGTTTCAGACGATTTTACAGAATGAGGACAATAAAACACCGGTATTATACACTTACTTTAGAAGATAAACCTTCACACTTAGCACCACACCTCTGAATGCCGTAAAATACTTAACATTTCGTAAATATTGCGAAATTGAGCTGTGATTGCTATCTAGACATTTAGGATTAGGACTGATTAGGCGGATGGAGACTAATCATAACAAGCCTCTTTACGGCTTAAAACTAAAACCGTCACTGATGCAATCAATGTTTAAACCGTGAATTTTTGACTGAAAAAGCTGCATTTAACCAAGAAGATTCCAAACTGTTGCGGTATTTTTCGTAAAGATGAATTAAAACAAAGTGCGCCTACCTTCGGACGTTGGACTGCGCGCTCTGGTCACCCAACTACCGTTTCAGTCCGCTTTTGCTTGTTTTCCAAAATCGTCGTCTTTGGCCTCAAAATTGGACTAGTTTTAGGCACATGCACTGCTCCATGCTCACTGGAAGCAATAAAAACAATGATAAGAACATTAATGTTGTGCGCTATCGCAGCTTAATCCGATTTGATGAAATCAGGAAGCAAATAGCGGACAAACTTCCAGATAAAAATACAGTTAAGTACATACAGAAATCTTCATTCACCTTGATTGCTAAGTGTTTCAAGTTTAAGGGGCTTTCACCAATTTTTTTGCTACATGTAAATTGGCACACTTTAACTGAACACGCGGCTAAGATCAGAGTGCGTATTTTTAAACGCTACTATTGCGAAAAACGCACAAATGCGACGATTTTAGATCCTGCCAAAGCGCCGGATCACAAACTACTAAAGCGAGTCGGTGTGCAAAATTGTTGCAAATACTTTATGGTTATTTGGTTTGTTTCAGCGGTGAATGTTGTAAAATCCCACGAACCATAAAAACGCTCGCACACTTAAAATAAAAATGCGATTTCCTATATAATTTCATTGATATTGGGCTTTGAAGGCCTAATTGTACATTGGCAATGTGTTAAGTGTACATAATTACTTCGATAGCCAACAGTCACATGATGAATTAATAACAAGGCATCAGGAATATTATTGGCATTTTCATTGGATCCACTTATTTATAATCAAAGCTCTCTGCAATCACTTATGTAACTGGCCCAACAATAACACAGTTAATAATTATTCTGGCCAATTAGTATTTATCTTCTTTGTAGACAGAAATCATTGACTATTATCAATCTGTTGCTTTTAGCTGCCAGATAATTCACGGATCATGTGCTATATTAACAACTGTCGCTGTTATTGCATATAAATGTTCCTAGTTTAGATTTACCTGCCCAAGGTTTTTTTGGACACGCTAAGTAAGAGCGTAAATTCGAATGCAATCAAGGTTTCAAATTTTCTTTCCAAAGAGTCTTTTACGCCAAAAGTTTAGGTTCTAAACATTACTCCAGCTTCTAAACTGTGCAGCTGTTTTCAAACTACCACAGTTTTGCTTCTTATTTTCAAATGTTAGGATTTGTTGAAGAAGCCTAATTGGGAAAAGACAGTCCTTGTGGAAAATGTTCTAATAAATATTCAGATATTTTCACCTGTTTTCGAGATCTGAACCAAAAAGTTCAGATATTTTCTTAAATGGACGCATATTTTCCGAAAGAGACGGTAAGGCAAATATAATTTTTAGCAGGTTTTGTTGCAAACATCCTAAGTGGAACTTGTATTACGAAATAGTAGCAATTTTCACATAAAAGTCGAATTTTGAATATTAACCATTTAAGTGTAAAATTCGCCAAGTTCTCAAGAATGGATTGAGTTGGACCGCTCATTTTTAGACTACTATATTCCCCAGAATGTTTCCCAAAAATGATACTTTCTGGGCATTGAAGGCAAAGTTCAGTCTAGCCTACATTTTTCAAAATGGATTTTTGAAAAACAACTCCAGAACCATAAAGTTGTTGGGACGCATGACAAGTCTCGCTTCAAAAGCCTTCCCATTTTTCCCAGATTTTTTACTAAAAATGAAACTTTCTGCTGAACAAAACAAAAGTTTTCCCTTTTCAATGGAGTTATAACCGATCTTCAGTCTAGCCTAGATTTTGCAAAATAGATTTTTGAAAAACAACTGCGGAATCATAAAGTTGTTGGGACGCATGACAAGTCTCGCTTCAAAAGCCTACCGATTTTTCCCAAATTTTTTTCGTAAAATGATACTTTTTGGTCATAGAAAGCAACGTTTTCGCTTTTCAATGGAATTAGAACCGCTCTTCAATCTAGCTTAGATTTTGCAAAATGGATTTTTGAAGAACAACTGCGGAACAATAAAGTTGTTGGGGCCCATGACAAGTTTCGCTTCAAAAGCCTTCCCATTTTTTCCAGATTTTTTYTCAAAAATKATACTTTCTGGTCATAGAAWGCAAAGTTTWCKCTTTTCAATGGAAKTATAACCGATCTTCARTCTAGCCTAGATTTTRCAAAATAGATTTTTGAAAAACAACTGCGGAAYCATARAGTTGTTGGGACGCATCACAAGTCTCGCTTYAAAAGMCTTCCCATTTTTCCCAGATTTTTTCCCAAAAATAATACTTTCTGGTCATAGAAAGCTAAATTTTCTCTTTTCAATGGAATTATAACCGATCTTCAGTCTTGCCTAGTTTTTACAAAATAATTTTTTTAAAAACAACGACGTACAGGGTGATTTTTTAGTGCGAGAGAGTCAATTATTTCCGTTTGTGTTGAACTTTTGAAAAATAGTTTCATATAAAAGTTGTTGACGCACAAAGTGCGCACATTTTAAAAATATCTTATATGATACAGAGTGTCTCAGAAAAGCGAGGCAAGATCAAAGTGTATTTTTTTTAAATAGAACTACCCATTTTTTATTATCTCCTGGAATGCAGCTTGAAACGAGGCATATGCACCGTAAATTGTTTTTTTCTTACTTGCGACGTTGGAAGATTATCGCCATTTTAGTAAAATTGTGCCTAAAAACAACTTGGTATCTAAAAATTCATTGTTAAATTAAAATTAAAATTGCATTTTAAAATTAAATTTATTACAATTTTTTTAAACAACGTTTAATTAAATTTAAAATTCATTCAAACCCATAATTGGGAAACATTATATTCATTTCGGTCTTTGCTGTCTTGAACCTTCAATTTGTTTTCGTGATTAAAACAAATTGAAGGTTCAAGACAGCAAAGATCGAAATGAATATAATGGTTTCCAATTATGGGTTTGAATTAATTTTAACATCTGATGATAGCGCTGTTGCCTCGCCGAAACGTAGCGAAATAAACGATATACAAAAAAATATTTCACACTGTGACTGAAGCCCAGGAAAGAAGATAATATAATAACAATTACACGCAGTCAGGAAAATAAATCAACATATTTACAAGACCTTTTTCCAAAAATTAAACTTTCTCTGCATTGAATCCGAAGTTTTCTCTTTTATTATTATAACAACGTGATTGAGGAAATTCTGGTAGTTTTGACCCAAAAAGCGAAATTTCAATATCAGACATTTAGGTGCAAGATTAGGCCAAAAGTTCATGTCTTCCGCCACCTTTTTGCTCATTTCTGTGGAACAGATTGAGCTGAAGCGCTCATCTCCGCACCACTGGACTCTCCTTTATACTGGATTAACTGACGCTCCTAGTACGTAAAGAATAACACTGGAAATGTCGGCAGTTTTCTCAAAAAGTCAAGATAAGTGTAGTTTTGCGCGTTTTTTTTATTTAAATAGACCCAAATATGACACCGCCTTTTTCCACGTTTCAGTTATAACACCGTACGTGAGGATTCTGGTAGTTTTGACCCAAAAAGCGAAATTTCACTATCAGACATTTAGGTGCAAGAGTATGCCAAAATTCCTACTTTCGCTACTTTTTTGCTCATAACAAATTGAGCTGAAGCGCTCATTTCTGCCCCCCTAGACAGATAATTAGCAGACGATTGTACTAGGTAAAAAATCGCTTCGAAAATGTTGACAGTTTTCGAAAAAAAGTAAAAATAATTAAAATTTTGCGCGGTTCTTTTAAATTGCGAAATCGACTTCAATATTTTTTGAAGCTGAAAATGTTGAAATCAAGCTTACCTCTGGATTTATTCAACCATCCCAGTTTCAATACACATTAACCAATTCTCTGTGATCATGGGACAGTGGCTGTTTTTCACAAATATTGCTAACTGGTCACAAGACAAGTGAGTTTACTTGGAAGCGGGACATGGTGTATAGGTTATCTTGGGGGCTCAGCAAGCGATAAGGCTTGTGCCCGATAAGCGTAAGGTTTCTCACGCATTTACATTCCGAGAGTTTCACAACATGTTCATGAAAATGAGTTCGCGCCATTCAAGAACTGCCTATACTTTATTAAAGTAGATCATTTTGATTTCGATCATAAATCTAACCTAACTTTTCTCAGATTTGAACTAAATATAATAATTTTACTCCCGAAATACAGGACAATTATAAATTGGCTCTTCTCTTAAAGGGGCATAGCAGACATTCTAAACACCAATAGTGTTAACACTTGCATTTTAAATACATAAGTGTGCTTAACCTTACTTCACAACATCAGTTTTCATTGTTTGCAAAAATCTCGGAACATACATCGCAGATTGACTAATAATTCCGAAAATTAAGGAAAAACACTCACAAACACATACAACTGTAGGCAAAGGAAAATTCGTTAAGGAATATATTTACTTAAAATTGGCATCAACACCAATGGCAAAAAAGCACCATGGCAATGCCGCCCCACTTCTGTTTGAAATGTCATCTGTTTCTGTCATTTACTTTGACACTATTTACAAATATGTGATATTTGTTTATCAAGTTTATTGGGGAATTTTCGATCAATTTTTTTCCGTTTTCCTCCACCAACGCCATCGGCCACAAAAGCAGGTCGTACCCACGGTTCAGGTCTTTTCCCATGCGACTTACTTCCCAATCATGGACGATATTGTAGGCGATAAAAATGCCAAGTTCAAAGAACTGTACAACCAGGATGGGGTATTTTTAAGACAGGCTGGTGAAATGTATACCCCGATGTTTGGCTGTACGGGATCCCTGTACCTTTGGGAACACATTAGCGACGCAGGTATGCAGTCGACGACGTTTCAAGTGATTTACTGGCAATTTCCTAATCATTTTCCACAGAGAGCAAACCAGAAGTGCCTTCCCGATTTTTAGAGTGGAGGCCACAGGACTTTGTTGAGTTGAAGACCGCTCTTGATGAGGGCAGCGAGGAGTGGACTCTCATCGAGAGTGTGAAGAAGCGATGCCGAACCTCGAGCGGAAATATGGTTAAGGACTTCCTCAACAGCATCGGTAATCTGAATGTTTGCTTTAGTAACATCAAAAGGTACTCATTTACATTAGGGATGATTACGTAGCGTTATATCGAGGTTGGTTTTAGCCTCAGATGTTCAAAGCACGACGTTCTAACCACTTTCTACGATGGCTCCTGTGAATTGTTGGCCAGCTTTGTCTTTCCAACCAGCGAGTCTCGCGAGCACTTTCTCGGTACGATACAGGCTTTTGTTCGACTGCAGCCCACACGGCGGGACAAATCCTTATTTATTGTTTACGATGCCGCTAGTCCAGGATTTAAGGACCTGGAGAAGTCATTCGCTGCCCTGGACCTGAAAACCGATAGTTCATTCTGGTCTTTGCTTAAGAACATCAAAAGCAATCCCTACGAGAAAAGTATGGAGGCCTTTGCGAAAGTGACCGGATATGGTGAGCCAGATTATAGAGTCTAGCTAGGAAATGGTCTTGTTTGTAACATTTTGCAAATGAACATTGCACATGGAAAAATCCTGCCCGGTTTAGCCGGTTTTTTTCAAGGTTCATAGTATTTCCTGATCGCATTTCTATGATAATGATATTCTATACAAGTTTTATTACGCTTTAAATCAATGTCTATTGCAAATTAAAATCCCTTCTACGGATCGTTTCTGAGTCCAATTTCAACTCTTTATTTTACCTTACAAAAGCGGACATCGGTCATTCGCATATCGTTAAAGAAGCATTTAAGCAACGAAATGATCTATTTAAACTGTTGATGAATTGAGTTGAATGTCTATCAGTCGTCTCGTCACATCTTCAAAAATAGTGGGTGTAGATGAAACCTAATTACGAATGAATACGCTTGAATATATTCCCAGAATAGTCTGGGTGGACTTTGGGAGCCCCAACCAGACAAAAAAACTGTTGGCTTGAATGTGAATTTGTTTCCAGTTTACAACAGTGTTGATGACGAAGAACATTACATGGCCCAAGACGATCTCCAAAGATCCATCTCGGAAATAGGCGACGATGCTTCAGCTTACGCAGTTTACGACATTCCCAACTGCTTGCCTATGCGGGTGGATTATCCTCGATGTAATCCGCTCACCAGAGAACAGTGGCGAGCGCAGCTCAACGGTGAAGGGCAGCTAGAAGACGTCGAGTCGATAAAAACTTTGATTTTCCGTGGGGCAAGTTAGCTGCACCCTTAACTGAAGAGAACCCATCTTCAACTTGATTTAATTGCAGGGTATTAGTCCGGATATTCGTCGCGTAGTCTGGAAATTTCTGCTCGGCTACTATCCTTGGGATAGCACTGAAAAAGAACGACATGCACTTGATATCAGCAAAATGGAGAGCTATTATAAAATAAAGATGCAATGGACGACTTTCAGCAAGGAGCAAGAGGACAACTTTTCAGATTTTTCACAAAGGAAGAGCCTAATCGAGAAAGATGTGAATAGGTGGGAGAAATGCTGGTACATTTTGTCTCGATATCAACTGAACATTGTTTTCAGAACGGACAGGGTTCTCGATTTTTATGCCGGCGAGAATAACTACAACATATTCAGCCTGAACAACATTCTATTGACTTATCTGTTGTATAACTTTGACTTGGGGTACGTGCAAGGAATGAGCGATCTTTTGTCGCCCATTTACATGCTACTCCGCTGCGAAGTTGAGGCTTTTTGGTGTTTCGTGGGATTCATGAAGCAGGTGATGTCCAACTTTGACTACGACCAAAACGCCATGAAGGAACAGCTGAAAAGCATGTACTTGCTGGTCAATTTCATCGATCCGCAATTGTCCAAGTATTTTGAGGACCACGAGTGTGCAAACATGTACTTTTGCTTTCGGTGGCTGTTGGTCTGGTACAAGCGGGAACTTCAGCAGGATGAGGTGGCTCGGCTTTGGGAAGTGCTCTGGACCGGTTATCCATGCAAGAACTTCCATCTACTGATCGGTGTGGCCATTCTGGAACATGAGCGCGATGCTTTGATGGGGGACAACAACGGTTTCACGGAGATTTTAAAAGTGGGCCCAGATTCGGTGGAAATCATGCAGGAGTTTTTATCCATGTGAGTTTGTTTCAGTTCATCAACGAACTGACTGGAAAGCTGGACATTAATCTGATGATCAACCATGCAGAGGGGATTTATCATCAGATTAAAGACGCCGACCATTTGACTGATGCGGTTAGGAATATTCTGGGTATTCCGGTGGCTGAAGCATCTGGTAAGATGTATTAAGAATCAATTTACAGGGTGCACTGGGATATTCTTTCGCTCAAAAGGCCATATGATCTAACTTTTGCTAAGAAAAAACTCCTCCTCCTTGTTCTTGATGGTCAAACTTCATACAAGATTTTACAAAAAGAACAAAAATGTCAAGAGGATGATTCACCAAATAAGTCACCTCAAACGGATGTTGAATATTTTTGAACAACTTTGACCATCAATAGCAGAGGTGCCAGCAATTTTTCTTAGTAAAAGTTTGGTGTTTTTGTGATCCAGGGAATATCGCAGTGCCCGTTTCTTCATGTGCTTACGGCACACAAAATTCGCAAACAATATGAAAATGTTTCTGCACTTTATAGGTGACGGGAAAAAATCAACCAATATCTGAATCGCTTTCCAGGTTTGCAGTCTAAGCCGGAAGACGATGGGTCACCCCGAAAAGGCGTAAGCGAGCCTGACGAGATCGAATTCGAGAAATCCATCTACTCGAACTTTTTGTAATCGTCAACTGGAAGACTGGTATTTTTATTTAGGCCTTAAGATTAATTTGTATTGAAAGTTTATGAATAGTAATGTTTCCCCATTGGTCAATTATTTAGGGATTTATTGTAAACTTCGGGATGCAACCCACAGGATTTTCCGAGACTTCTGTCCATTGTGAGTACGTGAGAATGTCCTTTATTTTATAGGAAATAAACAGTCCAATTCATGCAGTTGATTTGTCTCCTCTTGAGGAAACCGCAACAGCATGACTTGAATTGGTGAAATTAAACAGGACATTTTGCAGTATTTCGCTCTTGTATTGTACCATTTTATTGCCATTTTATTTGTTGTATTTATCAGAATACTTCTAGTGCAACTATATGATATAGTTTTTATCTGTATGTATTATCTGTCTCATATTTTATTATCTCCCAATACTTGAATTTGTATTTGATTGATGATTGATTATAGTGGTTTAATTCACACCGTGTACCTAGTGAGAGCGTATTATATACAAGTTATCAATAAGTGATTTTGTCATTCTGCATTTTTTGCAATATTTTTCTTTGAAATTTCCATCCCTAGAAAGTTGGGATCGGAACCATCAGCTGTAGGCGGTCTTGCTCGAAAGATTGAAAATATTAGATTTGAGACTTAAACATTTCCGCAGATTAACTTGAAAGTCCAGTCGCAAACATGCTTATGCTAATGGATTTTACCTTGAACTAGACGATTTAATTACATGGTCATTAAAACATGATTTTCCAAAATCCCTCTTAAGAATTTCAGTTAATGAAAGTTGCAGTCGTACAAGACCAGTTTTCCGGGTTTCTGCGTCTCCATCCTCCTAAACGTTGATGCCTCAGAAAACAGCCAAAATCCAACAATTTAATCACTGCCTTCTGAATAATAAATGAGCAAATAACAACAAATTTGTTAAAACATCGTCGCCAGTCTGGTGGGGAAATCCTACCGCGAAAGGTCATCAAGTTTAAACTGTATCGGCTAAAGCCAGTGGTCGATGTGAGCAACCAGTGGCCAGCACATCCGAAGATGTACTTTACATGAATCGGCGATTCTATTTGTTAACAACAATCGGGTAAAATGCCATACTGTTTATTAGTGTTGTAGTTGCTTACGCGTGCCGAACTTTTAGCGTTCTGAAACTGTTTGAGAAGTTGGTGAGTTTGAGAAGAGTTTCAACCTTGGAAACGTTTCCTGAAGATTCACTATTTGATGGTAATCTGGAGGCCAATTTTTGGAACCTTAATTCAAGGTGATCGGCGACGATTAACATTCTTTGTGTTGTTTCAGCCAATATGATTGGGCTGTTTAATTTATTGTCAGTGCTTGTTCTGGTAAAACTCTCCTTGGAGGCTGGAGGACGCAATGTGAGTTCGCAGATTTTTTTCCCTAGCGGCGACAGTTTCAGCGCCTCCCCGGATTTCGATCAATTGCCAGCAGTTCAGGTAAGTTGACCTTAGCAGTTGAGGTAAGTTAAGCCGGTAGAACTGCCCTTTTTTCTAGGCCTTAGACCCAAATGACTTGGTGGCCATCAGGGGCTCCAGTGTATATGAGACGTTTGTGGATGATATTATAGCGAGAAGCACCGCCAGACTGACTGTGAAGATTAACAATTTGCTCATTGCTCAGAACGGGCATGACGACAATGTCTTGTTCTCGCCCCTGAGTATCACAAGTAAGTTCGCCGTGCAAGGAGATAGTGATAATGATAAAGAAACCTCCAAGGATCTGGTTGTTTTCGGATAAAGTTAATTGAGTTGTGGGCCCTGAAGATCTAAAAGTAGTAAAAGTGCGGGATTAAAAAGGCCTCAATTTAAGTTCACTTTTGTCTACCTTAAAATCATCAGAAAGTGAGCTGATTCACTCAGTGTGGAGTTAATTTCAGGTGTATTGGCGTTGGTACTTTTGGGCTCGAATGGGGCAACGTTCAAGGAAATTTCGAACTTTTGGGGTCTTCAGATCGGCATTCCGGACATCGATCAGAAATCCCAAATTGTGCACGAGCAATTCGGTCGCATTATCAAAAAACTAAACCGAACCGCTGGATTTGAGCCTGGAGACGAGGTGGCTGTAGCTTCAGCTGTTTTCATTCAGGATGGTTATCCAGTAAGTTACAGCTTTTTTTTACAAGCTCTTCTTTTGGAAAAACTGGTTTTGGGGACGGAAAAAGTGACTTTTAGCCACGAAACTTGCAACTTTTGCAATTGCGAAAAACTCTAGTCAGTAGAAATCAGGACTCAATAGCGACAATTCTCGGCAATGCTCAGAAGAAATTTCGCTTAAATACGATCGAAAATTAATTTTTAACACGCTTTCAAGCCCGAGGCCGATAATTGCAATTTGCAATGTTGAGTTTCGCTTATAAATTTTCAAGCCACAAAAACAGCAGTTTGAACTCCAGATTGTGTGTGTTCAAAATATTTACTAATATACTGACGAAATTTCCTTCAAATTGGAGCAAAAGGACTCTAACGTCTTGAAACGCGAGACTGAATTAAAAAGTTACATCCAAAATATTAACAACGCATCCACAAAACATTCTGTAATAAATCGGCAAAATTTGACTGAAAATGAGCAAAATCTGATTTTTTAGACGATTTCGAACATGACCCTGATAATTGCATTTAAAAAGATATGCCGATTTTCGCTTGAAAATTTACAGAACATTTGTTTATGTAAGGACGAAATTTCGCTTAAATAAGAGCAAAAATCTACTTTTCAGGCGACTTGAAACATGGGACTGATAATTGCATTTTTGAACAAACACCGACTCAAACTTGAAAATTTCTAAGCGGAAGACAAATAGAAAATTAGATCTAATATTTATAAAGTTCGTATTTTTTTCTACTTTTGAAAAAACTCGTTATGGAGTCGAAAAAAGTGACTGTTTGGCCACGAAATTTGCAACTTTTGCAATTGCGAATAACTCTAAAGTCAGTAGAAATCAGGACTCAATATACTCGTGAAATTTCCCTTAAATACGTTCCAAAATGCATTTTTAACACGCTTTCAAGCCCGAGGCTGATAATTGCAATTTTCACCAAATGTTGAGTTTCGCTTATAAATTTTCAAGCCATAAAAACAGCAATTTGAACTTGAGAAATCTCGAGTGCGTGTTCAAAATATTCACTAATATTCTGACGAAATTTCCCTCAAATTCTAGCAAAAGGTAATCACTCTAACGTTGTTAAACGCGAGAATGAATTTAAAAAATCTGCTGTTTGCTTAAAACTGCGCTAGCCGGAAACAAGCAGGACTTTACACACAAAATATTAGCAACGCATGCACAAAACATTCTGTAATAAATCGGCAAAACTGGACTGAAAAATGAGCAAAAACTGATTTTTTAGACGATTTCGAACATGACCCTGATAATTGCAATTAAAAAATGCTGATCTTTGCATGAAAATTTACAGGGCGAATTGTACTAAATACCAATTAAGGTTTATGTACAAAACATTTCCCTATGCAAGAACGAAATTTCGCTTAGATAAGAGCAAAAATCTACTTTCCAGGTGACTTGAAACATGAGACTTATAATTACATGTTTGAACAAAAACCGACGAAACTTGAAAATTTCCAAGTGAGCGACAACAAGAAAATTTGATCTAATATTTATACAGTCACTATACAAAACATCCGCCAATATACTAAGACAATTTCGCATAAATTGCAAGAAAAACTGATTTTTTAGAGGATTTGAAGCGTGAAACTGATACTTGCATTTTCTAACAAAAGTCACCCTAAAGTTGAAAATTTGCAAGCGGAAGACCATCCGGAATTTAGATCTCGCATGCATACCGAGTGCTTACAGAGCACTGGTTGACGAAATTTTGCGTAAATAGGAGCGAAAACATATTTTTCTGGCGACTGCATACACGCGACATAATTTTAATTTTGTAGCAAATGCTGACATTTCCTTGAAAATTTGTATCTTGGACACAAACAGGTATTGAATATTAAGTTACATACAATGTGTGTATAAAACATGCACCTATACATTGAGGAAATTTGACTTGAATTGGAGTAAAAACGGATTTTTGAGACAACTTCAAACGAGAATCTGATAATTGCGTATAAGAAAGAAGGACCTTCGCTTGAAAAGTTGCAGGCTTAAAAAACAAGAATCTGGTCCTAAGACTTATGCCGAGTGCGCATTAACTCTCGGTCTACGTTGACAAAATTTCGCTTAAAAACGAATAAAAACTGATTTTTCGCAACTCTTCAGACATGAGATGATAATTGAGTTTTTCAACAAATGCTGACCTTCGCTTAAAAATTTGAAAAGAAACCTATTCGCTAAGAAACCCAGATACTGTGCCCAAAACACCCTTGAATCAAACTGCCAAAACTCACGAAAAAACAAGCAAAACTTTGAAATCAAAATCGCACTTTGTAGCCGTCGTTCTACTTTAAAAGCATCGAATCTGCAAGCCTTTCATTTCAGATCAGGGAAATTTACCGCAGCACAGCCCAAGAAGTGTATCAAAGCAGCATCGTGAATGTGGACTTCCAAGCCAATCCGTACAAGGCCCAGGCGCTGATCAACAACTGGGTGGCTGAAAGGACGCGAAATAAAATCAAAAGCATCCTCAACGAAGCTCCTAGTGGAGACACTCGCATCATCCTGGCCAGCGCCCTTTATTTCAAAGCCGAATGGGAGCAACACTTCTTCGTCGGCTTGACCAAGCGGTACTTTTTCCCCATCTTCCCCATCTTTCTCATCATCTTCATTTAGCGTGCGTCTTGCAGGCGCCCGTTCTTCGTTGATGGGCGATCTGTGAGCACCAACTTGGAAGTGGACCTGATGGCCAATGGGGGCGAGTTTCCCTATCACAGAGACACGGAGTTGGGCTGCGAGATTCTAGGGCTGCCCTACAAAGGCCGGAAAAGCACCATGTATGTGGTGATGCCGTTTGAATCCAGCAGGGCGAAGCTGAAGGAGTTTGAGTCGAAAATTACTGAAGCTGATCTCAGCCGCCTGGTGAAGCAGACGAAGGTGACTGGAGTGGTGCTGCTGATGCCTCGCATGAAAATCGACGCCACTCTGGACCTGAAAGATACTCTTAGAGCTCTGGGGGTGAGGTGAGATTTCCATGCAACTTTTCCTTTTTGGGGCTCCAAGCAAGGATTTTTGAGGCTTTAGGTCGCTGTTCGACCCATCAGCATCCAACCTGGCGCTTTTATCTCCCGGCCAACCGCAGCTGTACTCCAACAGCTCCAATCACAGGGCTTCAGTCAGCGACCGTTTCGATAGCTTCCAGAGCATCGACAACATCCGGCAGCTGATTAACTCAGAGTCCAGCGACAACAGCTACCAAAACCCCGGCCTGTATGCCAGCCAAGTGATCCACAAAGTAGGTCCTAGTGACGAATCCTAGCTGAAAACTCAGCGATTTTTTGCAGGTTTTTATGGATATCACGGAAAAGGGCACTGAAGCAGCCGCTGCCACTGCAGTGAGCCTGTCAAGGGATGGCAGTAGGGTCACTTTCAGGGTGGATGTGCCCTTCAACTTCTTCATTAGGCATGATGAAACTGATATGATTTTGTTTTGGGGGTCCATAGTGGTGCCGAATCCCAGCTATAAGACCGCACAGACCACCAGGGGGGGACTTTAAGCAATATATTTTTTTGTGAGGGATTGGAGGTTTTTCTTTTGGCTGTTTCATGCTTTCCTTAAGGTGTCCGCGTAAATTGGAAGTGAAGAAAATACTGAAGATGACGACTTTATGAACACTTTATAGAAAAGTCGTTCTTGATTTCTTCCAGCTACTGGTCCAGCAGAATTATTTTTGAAACCTAAGGGCCGTTTTTGCGTGGTTTTTCGTTTTTACCCAATGCCTGCCCAATCAGCTGAATCATCTAAACAAGGGTTCCAACACTTGATAGCGAAAGGTTCATATTAGATGTGGTCTAAATTTGGTGCCTGTCACTGTGCGGGTGCCATCAGAATTAATTCTTCTTAAACTTTAGTGTTTATGCGCACGGTTCTACATTTTTACCTCTTACTATCTGGATGCTGATTTCTGAGCAACCGGTTGAAACATCGGAATAAGAAGTTTAGCAGTCGATAACAAAAGCCTCAGGTAACATGTTATGTCACTTTAATTCCATTGAAAACACTGGTGCTACTAGAACATTTTTTTTAAAACTTGGAGTGCTTTTCCATTTTCCATAAAACATTTCCAAAACGATTTCTGATCAACCAGTTGGCAGATCGAAAAAACTTTGGACCGGAGCCATGCAGTGGATTGAGGAAACAGTTTACTTGCGGTTTGTGTTTGGTTCTATTGGAGCTTGTGGTTCCCTCGTAATTAATTGTTAAAGTTTTTGCGCCATTCTCTTCAGGAGTGAATTTCTATGGGCCCATTTAATGCACCGGAACGGTGTCATTAGCAATCGCTGGAGGAAACTATAGTTTATTTCCAGGGTGCATTTGGTTCCATTCTAGATAGTGGTTCCTTCATAATTAATTGTTGAAATTTGCAATTTTTTGGCGCACTTTATCGTTCTCGCGTGATGCTCTCCTGGACCGAATTTCTAAGGAACCATTAAAGTTATCTCAATGGTGCCCTTAATAGTCGATAGAGAAAACTTCAATTTACGTGAGGTGCGCGATATAGTCCAGTTCATTATAACAGATTTTTAAAGTTTTACATTTTTTTGCGCAGTTTTTCGTTTTTGCGCGATGCTCTCCTGGACCGCATTTCCAAGGAACCAATTAAGTCACCTAAATGGGTCCCTTACTAGTCGATCGAGGAAACTTCAGTTCACTTGAAGTGCCCTTTTTTGTCCATTCCATTAAGTGGTTTCAATATAATTGATTTTTAAAGTTTAAAATTTTTTGGAGCAGTTTATCGTTTTTGCGTCATGCTCTTCTGAAGTGTATTTCTAAGGAACCATTTTATACACAGGAACAGTGTTTCTAGCAATCGATGGAGGAAGCTACAGTTTAGTTGTGGTGTGAATTTTGTTCGATTCGAGATTGTGGTTCCTTCATAATTAATTGTTGAAGTTAGAATTTTTTTGGCGCAGTTTATCGATTGGCGTGATGCTCTCCTGGACCGCATTGCTAAGGAACTATTTAAGCCACCTCAATGGTGCCCTTAATAGTCGATAGAGGAAACTTCAGTTTATGTGAGTTCCGCGTTTTAGTTCAGTCCAGTAAGTGATTCCATTATAATTTATTTTTAAAGTTTGACATTTTTTGGCGCAGTTTTTCGTTTTTGCGCCATGCTGTTATGAAGTACATTTCTAAGGAACCATTTAATACACCGGAATGTTGTTACTAGCAATCGACGGCGGATACTACAGTTTAGTTGAAGTGTCAATTTGGTTCGATTCAAGATAGTGGTTCCTTCATAATTAATTGTTGAAATTTGCAATTTTTTGTCGCAGTTTATCGTTCTGGCGTGATGCTCTCCTGGGCCGCATTTTTAAGGAACCATATAAACCACCTCAATGAGGTCCCTAACAGTTCATAGAGGAACCCTCATTTTTCTTGTGCTGCGTGTTTTTGTCCATTCCAGTTAGTGGTTCGTTTATAATTGATTTTTAAAATTTGCAATTTTTTGGCGCGGTGTCTAGTTTTTGCGCCATGCTGTTCTGAAGGACATTTCTAAGGAACCATTTAATACACCGGAATGTTGTTACCAGCAATCGACGGAGGATACTACAGTTTAGTTGAAGTGTCAATTTGGTTCGATTCCAGACAGTGGTTCCTTCATAATTAATTGTTGAAATTTACAATTTTTTGGCACAGTTTTTCGTTTTTGCGCGATGCTTTCCTGGACCGCATTTCTAAGGAACCATTTAAGGTACCTAAATCAGGCCCTTAGCAGTCGATAGAGGAGGAGCTTAGCAGTCTCCTGGACCGCATTTCTAATTTCTAACCGCATAACCATTTAGGCCACCTGAATGGGGCCCCTAATAGTCGATAAAGAAAAGCTTAGTTCACTTGAAGTGCGCATTTTTTGTTCATTCGAGTAAGTGGTTCCTTTATAATTGATTTTTAAAATTTGCAATTTTTTGGCACGGTGTCTAGTTATTGAGCGATTCTCGTTTAGAGCGTTCTTCCAAGGAACCATTCAAGGCATCCCAACTTTGCCATCAGCAGTCGCTAGGGGAAAATTCAGTTTACTTGCGGTGTGTATTTTGTTTCATTGGAGCCATTGGTTTCTTCATAATTAGTTGTGAAAATTTGCGGATTTTTGGCGCTGTGTTTCATTTTTGCGCCGTATTCTTCTGTGCTGCATTTCTAAGAGACCATTTAAAGTGCCTCAAAGATGCCATTGTCAGTCGAAGAAGAAAACTTCAGTTTACTCGTAGTGTGCATCTTGCTTCATTCGTAAATCGTTAAATTTGAATTTTTTAGCGCGTTGTTTTGTCTTTGCTCCATGCCCTTCTGGGGTATATTTCTAAGTAACCATTTAAAAGCTCGCAAAAGAGTCACGAGATATTTATAGAGGAAACTTCAGTTTACGTGCAGTGTGCAGTTGGTTCTACTAGAGCAAGTGGTTATTTCATACTTAGATGTAAAATTTTTCAATTTTTTAGGCGCGGTGTTTTAATTTTGACCCGAACTCTTCTGTGGCGCATTTCTAAGGAGCCATTTAGGGCACTGGCACAGGATCAGAAGCCGAACGAGGAAACTTCAGTTTACTTGCCATGTGCATTTGGTTCTGTTCTTTTGGTTTTGGCGGAAATGTGCAAATTTTTGGCACAGTTTCTCATTTTCATTATTTTCTGCGGTTTTGAATTTTTACATGTAACAGACAGACAAAGGAGTAAGGAAAATCTGTTAATGTTAAAAGGACAAACGTTTGGGCAAAAATACTCCACAAAAAATATATTTTGGGGCTTTTAATCGCAGTATTCATTGCAAAACCAGAGGAAATATTCCAGCAACTATTTTCCATTTAGATCAGCAATCGCCTTCTTGTGTTGCGTGTTGGAAAAAAACAACCAAAATTTCAATGTCTTTATATTTACACAATTGCTCCTGATCCGAACTAGGCCTATAACATACACTTCTTAGATAACTACCTATTATATACATTAAAAGCTTAGAACAATATTGAATCTGTTTATTTATCCTGCATTGGCACAACGACGTTTTATATGAATCTTATAAACATTTATAACAACAAAGCTAAACTATGTATAAAATGAATCAAATTATCACATTAGTCAATCTTAAAATTAGAAATTTCACTTGGCCAAACCCCCAATAGTAGAGAGTGATTGATTGATGGAAAACCAGTTTCAAAAACCTTCTTTCTTTCTGATCATATATCTAAGCCTTTCACGTAAAAAATGTACAAAAAGCGCAAACCATACAGGCCAGGGAAACCCTATTAAACGACGCTCCTAAATAGCAAGGCTTCTGAAAAGAAAAAACAAATTTACATGTCGGGAAACCAAACACGTAAAGCAACCATCCAAAATCCAAAACACTAGCTAGAAGAACTTTGCCATTATTTTAAATGCTGTATAATTATTATTACAATTACCGTCCATCGTGAGTTATTTCATATAATTACATTAACTAGCATAAAGCAGTCTTTTTGTTTTATTATCCGGGTAACTCGGGCTTGGAACCGGAACTGGTTCAGTAATCGAATCATCGTTAAACTAACTGGTCAAATGAACGGAAAATTTCGTTAGCTAGAACTTTAGGCCGGAGATCAAATGAGCCTGGAAACGATTGCTAGTAGAACCGCGCTAGTGCAGCTGAAGAATGTTAAGGGGGCGCAAGCTGCCGATGTGGTGGAAAACTCGGTAATGTTGGAAAACTCGCTAAAACCTGCCGGGTTTTCAGTGGCGGCCCTTACTTGGTAAGTGGTGTTCTTGGTCAAGTTGCCCACGAGGTAGATTTTATCTGGAAACCAAACCACTTTTACCCTGGAATCGATGCATTTGGAAAAGCCACTTACCTTCAGCCAGGGCGAAACGCTTCGCGTTCCACTTTGCTTCCTCGAAGGTTCGGTACTCGACTTTGAAGCCTTTTGGGAGCATGTTGGTGCGGTTCTCCTGCTCGGTGACTTCGGGTTCCTCAATCATAAGCGCCAGCGAAGATTCGGTCGCCTCAGAAAGGTCCAGGATTTGAGGTGGGTTTGGTGCGGTACCTGCAGGTTAAAGCTCAGTTATTGAGTAACGCAATGGCGAATCTTTGGGATGTTTGAACCAAATCTACTCGCCCTTAAGCACGGTGAAGATGACATCGAGAGTGCCTTCTGAGTTGCTGACCTGGCACTTATAATCGCCCAGATCTGCGGCATTGCGCAGCTTGATCTAAGTGAGCGTCCGAAATTTACGTGTCGGTTAATCACCACATTTATGCAGTTACTACCTTGAGAATGGACACTTTTGCCACTGATGTGGTTCCCTTCACTTGTTTCGCTACTAGAGAACCGGGAGACGTGTGGAACCACTTGAATTTTGGTTCAGGTTCAGCCAGCACTTCGCATACTAAATCGACTTCGCCTCCAATGTATCCATAGACGATGTCTTCTTTCGCGTATTTCAATCGGGGGCGGTCTGCAAGGAAAAGAGTTCAAGAACCAGCAAAGGTTGGCGAAACGTGTGCTCAGAAGTGTTCAGGTGGGCGGTGTGACTTGTTTTAGTTGAAGAAGGAAAGTGTGACAAACTTAAAACTAAAAATTGTGCATACAAATTATTCATAATTTATCGGTGTATGATGGTCATTTGGTTGTCAACACCCAGTTTTGTCCACTAGCAATTTATTGCAAAACTGGAAAAAGTCCAACACGTTTTGAGTGTTTAAACTGGTCCTCATCAGGCTCGCGGTGTCAATTTGGTACCAATCAAGGTACTGGTGCAATTATAATTAAATTTTAAACTTTGCTGTGTTTTAGCGCGGTTTTTAAATTTTTCATTGTACATTTATAAATTTTATTTCTGAGCAACTAGGCAAGATATTTAAATTTGGGTTTCCTATGGTCCATCAATTCAATGCACGAGTGCGGTCAAAATTGGTTTTTAAACTTGGAAGTGTTTTTGGGCGGTTTTTTATTTTTTCATTACACTATTTTATAGATGATTTCTCTACAACTAGTCGAGATATCGGAATCCGGATTACCGCATTTTATAACTAAAGCCTCAGTTTATGTGTGTTGTAAATTTGGGTCCATTCACGGCACTGGCACCATCATAATACATTTTTAAACTTTAGCGAGTTTTTGCACGGTTTTTCATTTTTAGATCATACACTTCCAAACACGATTTCTGAGCAATCGGTTACAACTTTGGAATGGGGCTTTCAGTACTCAATATCGAAAGCCCCGTTTTACATGGCGCGTAAATTTGGTTGATTTCAATAAAGTGGCTGCATTATCAATAATTTTTAAACTTGCGAGTGTTTTTGCGCGGTTTTTTATTTTTTTATTATACAATTCTACAGACGACTTCTATGGAACTAGTTGAGATCTCGGAATCAGGATTTCAGTGTATTTAAAAAAAGCTTCAGTTTAGATGCGGTGTAAATCTGGTTCCAGTTAAGGCACTGTTGCTATCGGCATGAATTTTTAACTTTAATTGCTTTCGCGCGGATTTTCTCTTTCGCATCAACCACTAAAAAATGCGTTTTCTGAGCATCTGGTTCAGCTCTCAGAGTACTAGTTTCAGCACTCTATAGAGGAAGCTTTCGGTAATATTTGGTCTAAATCTGGTTCTATGATCGGCTTTGGCACCACATCACTAAATTTTTGAATTTGGAGTGTTTTTGGGCGGTTTTTCGTTTTTATCTCATAAAGTTCCAAAAATGATTTTTGAGGAGCCAGTTTAGACGTCTGATTCCAGGTCCCAGCACGCAAAAACCACAGCCTCAGTTCAGACCTGGTGTAAATAGTGTTTCGGAAAAATCACTAGCAGCGCCAGCACTAATTTTCAAACTTTTGAGTGTTTTTGCGTGGTGTTCAATTTTTACATTACACTCTTCTAAAGTCGATTTCTGAGCAGTAGCTCTGGATATCTGAGTTGAGGTCTCAACAGTCGAAAAATAAACCTTCAATTTTACCGTACTGTAACTTTAGTACCATTTCAAGCACTGGTGCAATCAGCATTAATATCAAAACCTTCGACAGTTTTTGCCCGGTTTTCTTATTTTTACATTCGTCTTTTCTAGACACGAATTTTGAGCAACTCGTTGAGCCATCAGAATGAGGTCTCACCTATCGATCGGGAAAGGTTAATTTTACAAGTGGGATAAATTTGGTTATATTTCAACAACTTGTGCCTCCAGAATTAAATTTGAAACTTTGGAGAATTTTTGAGCCGTTTTTAATTTTTACATCCTACTCTTCTAGCGGCGATTTCTTAGCAATCAGTTGAGAAATCTGACTGAAACTTTGTGCCAATCAAGGCTCTGGTTCCATCAGAATAAATTTTTAGACTGGAGTGTTTTTATCATCATCGCACACCATTGAGTTTAAATCAGGCCATGCTGTGAAGATGAGCAGCTTGAAACAAAATGCTCCTGTAGGAAACGGTGTCTCCGTTCGATATTTTTTTGTTCTTGATTTAGTCAATATTTTCGATTTGGTGAAACCATTGTCAATTCCATCCGAGCGCAATTGACCGGAAAAACCGTCTTAAGTCGGACTAAATCTCGACTACTTCGACCTCCACCTAGGGAACTTTGCAGGATTGTGTGCGGTCTAACGGGAGAGTTATTTTTCCACCTTCATCTTCGGTTCGGTGCACGCAAAAGGGTTCGCTTCTAAACGAATTAAAAGCTGCTTGTCCCCCCAAAGGCTATCAGATCGGCCTGTTTTTTATTTTGCCAGAAGCAAAGGCTCTGGATGACCAGCCACCAGACCTCGGACAGTTATAGCAGGAATCATTATTCTTGCCTGGATGAACTGTAAAGAGCCACCTAAATCATTTTCGGGCGAGTTTTTTTCTTTACACGTTTCCCGCTTTTATCAAAGATTTTTTTCAGTCTGTTAACGCCAGTCAAGCCAGTGCTAGGCAGCTGCTGTTCCAGAAGAATAACACAAGCAAAAGATAAAGAAAACACCTTAAAAGTCCAAAGAGTGTAGGGAAAATTGTGCAAAGAAGCAATAGAAAGTTTTTTGTCGGCGGAGTAGATTTTGAGGTTGATTGAGATTATTTGGCCCCCAACTTATATGCTACTGAGTAGAATGGGACTTTATCAGCACGTTTGGAAACCACTTGTTTTCTACAGAAAACCGTGCTCGTAGTTGAAAGCTCTAATCGCAGCCGTTTTAGAGCAAAATGGGATTGAATGACCAAAAAACGAAAAAGTGGGAATTTTTTGCAATGGCCTAGAAGTGAGGGGCAAAATTAAACCTGCCGCTAAACAACAAAAAAAAACCCAAATAATAAATTCAAATTAATTTAACACGGAAATTCAATCCTACTCACCATAAATTATGTAATTAAAAGCCCGCAAAATACTTTCCATATCATATTCAGACTGGACGGAGCTTATTCCGGCTGATTTCGTTGCCGAAATGTGGAAAACCCATCAAATTGAATGATTAATAATGCCATTTTTAATTAGTTTCAAATAATATCGAATTATTATGCAGGCGCGGTTTCGAGCAATTAGATAAATTATCCAAACTGTTTTTTACTTTGCTTTATTTTCATTATTAATATTTTGATTCTGCTTTATCCGGCAATGATTGAAGTTTTGTAGAGTGTTTTTCCTTTATAAAAAGCCTTCCAGTTTTCCCAGAGCCATACAACCTGTCGATATCCGCGCTCCGGCCGTTAAGTTGGGTTTAATTCAATTTGCACTCGGGCAGAAAAAAGGAAAACACTCGAAATGGCCCCGACCGATCGACGTTTAATCAGGCCGGAATTAATGGAAAAAGATGGCGCTTCTTCAGCTTCCCAATCAAATTGGAGGCAGCAAATTATTCATGATTTTTTGCGGATTAACAAAATTGAATACTTTTTAGCTCGATATTTTGCAGACCAAATTTGTGAATTTTGGAAAAAATCGGACGAAAAACCACCGGAAAACCGTTTTACTAATGCTTAGCAGGAGAACTGCTGCACATAAACCAATTATACACATTTTAAATTGAGTCTATTTAAACACTGCTGCCTGGAAAGGCTCATTTAAAATCTGGTTTCGTTTTTCCTGCTCCCAGCAGCTTTAATGGCTGAATATGTATGAGTGTATTCGGGCTCATTTACACATTTTTTTTTGGATAAATCCTTCAAAAAGAAAATTATTTTCTATTGTTAACAAGAAAATTATAGTTGGCTGTTGTGAGAAACTGGGCAAAAGAGAAGAAAAATGGCAAAATGGTTTCAAATCCTTACTTGTTTCTGGGCTGTAGCTAGGAAACATTAAATAACTTCCTAAGGAAAAACCAAAGCAAATTGAAAACAAATGTAAATAAACAAAAGCAAATAATTTAAATGTAAGTTTAAAAACCTTCTAGCGTTTGACAATTTAAAAAAATAATAAGTATATTTTAATCGGCGTTTTCGAATATGTTTGCTGTTTTAGTTTTTCAATAAAGCAAGAAAATATCAGTTTTGAGATTTTGGTTTGAAGGCCATGAAGGATTAAAAGCTTTTTGTTGAAGCTTTGAGTTGAAAACATTAAACAAAAACAAAACACTCCCAWAACATTCCGGGAGTGGAACGATTTTTGCCAAWTTTTTTGAACATTTAGTCTGATGTCCATTTTGTAAACTGTGAMAGATTCATGATTGGGTTTGCTCTAATTTAATGCTTAAAAATTTTTGAAATTTGCCTTTATTTTTCCTTTTGTGCGATTTAAGGAAAATTTTCAGAATTGTTCTCATGAAGGCTCAAGTAGATCTGGTGAAACTTTCAGTTTCTACTTGCTTTAGATTAGTAGTTATGAAWTTTTGAAATAAAGCGCGCATATTTATGTGGAAACGTTAATTTCTTGGCGATCGCTTACCTCATAGKAAAAAATTWAATTTTCCTGCGGTTTTAGTAAAARTTTCTGCAGTTTYCGCCACAAGCGTCTGCTGCACATTGTGAAACTCTCAGATTCGTGCGTGCTTTAAATTGGTACTTATGATTTTTCAAATAAAAGGCGCATTTACTTAAAAATTAGTAAAAAATCAGAGTTTTATGCGATTTTAGTAAAATTTTTGGGAGATTCAGCCACACCTGTCTGAAACATATTGTAAAACTTTCAAGTTCTGACTTGCTCTAAAATTATACTTTTGCATTTTTTACAGAAAGCGCGGATTCACTTGTATGCATCCAGTTTAAGACGATCGATCGCTTACTTCTATTAAAAAATCAGAATTTTGTGCAATTTTACCAAAAATTTGTACAATTTTGTAGACTATTGTCTGCAATAAATTGTAAAACTTTCAAGTTTGTACTTGCCCCAGATTGGTGCTTACGAATTTTTGAAGAAAAGCTCACTTTTACGTGGCTTTGTTGGCTTTTGCACCATGGCTAACCCAGCAAAAAAATCAGGAAATCGGGAAATTTTATTGATAATTTTGAACAAAAGTATCTGCTAGTTGTTGGAAAACTTTTAACTTCCTACTCTTTTCAGAATGAAAGTAACGATTTTTTAAAGAAAAGGGCGCATTAAAGTAGAAACGATTATTTTTATGCCATGGTTTACTCAGCAACAAAAAATTAGAATTTTGTGCGATTTCAGTGAAAATTTTCGCAGTTTTAGATACCAGTTCTTCTTAAGCTACATTCTCACAAACCTTCAAGTTTGTACTTGCTTCCGAGGGGTTTCTGCCCTGTTCTAAAGAAAGCGCACATTTATCTGTGCACCTCCGTTTCTATTTTCTAGTTAAAGCAGCAGGCAAATCAATCAAAGCAAATCCAGATTTAGTGCGATTTTTATGAAAATTTCAGAATTTTGGTCCTCAAGTCTGCTATAGAACTGTGGAAACTTTCAAGTTGATACTTGCTCCGAGTTAGGACTTACGGATTTTTTGAACATTGAATTTTGTACTTGCTCCTGATTGGAAATTGCGAATTAAAAAAAAATTAACATTTTCGTGTATGCGCTCATTTTTAGACCCTTGTTAAACCAGCCCCAAAAAATGAAAATTGTGTGCAATTTTAATGAAAATCTCACAATTTTTCTATCCAGGTACCAGGCCACGTTGAATCTTAGATTTTTTAAAATGCAAAGCGCGCATTTCCGAACATTTTATTTTTAGACTACGGCTGATCGCGAACTCAAAAATCAAGTTTCTGTGCTATTTTAGTGAAAAGCATAGTAGTTTTAGGAACAAGTGTTCGCTAAAAGCGGTGAAACTTTCAAGTCTATACTTGCGCTGGGTTAGTATTTATGAATTAAAAACAAAGTTAGTTGACCGAAACTCGATTATTTTTAGTCTGTTCTTAATCCAGCGGAACAAATCAAAATTGAGCCCGATTTTCATAATATTTTTACGAGTATTGGGTCCAAGCGTCGTCCAAATATTGTAAAACTTTTACGTTCCTACCCACCACCAGATTAATACTTGCAAATAAAAACTGTTCTTATTTGAATGAGAATAAACCGAGACTTCAATTTGTTTTTGCTAGGATTTGGGCTCGTTCTCGAACTTAAAAAAATGGCCAAGACTCCAGGAAATTTTACATTTTCTCTAGTTCATAGTCTAGATTATATTTTATAGAGACTGCGTCAGTTGGCAGGGAGTTTTAAGCGAAAAACCAGCACAATTTAGAACGAATTTAAGAACCCCCAAAATTCCGCCAAAAGAGTCGCAACCCTTCCCTGGAATGTCTTCAATAAATGATCGAATATTCAAGTAGGTTCTTCTAATGAAATGAGACTGAAGAAGTTTTTGATAGAATTCACTCAGAAGTGCAAGTGCACGGTGTCGACCAGCTCGAAGGCAAAAAATTGCGAGCAATCAAGTTCCTTTTCCCTCCCAGAATTCCTCAAAAGTGGAAATGAAAATTTTAATTCTCTTTTGAAGTGATCGCTTGTTGAAGTTGATTTGGCTCCAATTGCAACCATTGGCAGACATTTTCCGATTGGTAAATGGACAGAGACCCTTTTGGCAGACTGAAACACGCAATTTCGGTCGAACACCCATTTCCCAACCGTAATGAATATCCAGCGGTTTTGTTCTGCCTTTTATTAATTCAGGCGTGATTTATTTTGTATTACAGCTCGAAATTAAAACCGGCGGATGTCGAGTTCTCAACTCAAAACCGCCACTATAATTGTGAATTTGCCCCAAAATAGGGATTGACTTACGCTTAACGGTAAGGTTGATCGCTCTTGTAGCGAATGTTCCCGCATTGATGTTGATCGCTTTGCAGACGTAGTCATGTTCGGAGTCCGAAGCGTCGGCATTTTTTATGAGCAGTCCATCAGCCATCTCTTGGTACCTCAACGCTGTAAAATGGCAATAGAATCAGGCTTTTCCGTTGATTTTTCAACGGCCAAAAAATTACCATCGCTGGGAAATTCTCCATCTATCAGCCATTCAGTTCGGGCATTGGTGGCTTCGCATCGCATAAAAATGTCGTTGCCTTCTGTTCCGTTAACTTCCGTTGGCGTGTCCACAAAGTCGACGGTTGCTAAAAACAAACAAAAACCATTCAATATACCGTAAAATCGTCGGTTTTTTAGCACTTTCATAGCTTTTGTTGCAGATAATTATTTTATACCACAATTTAAGTGCTTTTCTTTGTCAGATTTTTTAATATTGAAACAAAAGAGGATTAAGACTTAACACTGCATATTTTTAAACTGAAAGGGATTTTTTCGCATAAGCGGACAAACAATTTTTTGGTATAAGACAAATGAATTTTCTTACACGAATATCTTCATTTGTATATTTTTAAGGTAGGTTATTTAAATTTAATATAAATAAAATAAAATAATTTTTGGAACAAAAAATCATACCTGTTTCCTCGTTGGAGGTGTTAGAGGAAACATAAACTTATTAACTAAGAAAAAAATGAAAATAATAAAACAGCAAGTTGTGGAAGCTTCCATATTTTCTAAAACTATTCTGGTGCAAGTTTACACGACAATTAAAAATAAAATAAAAAAGAGTTAAAAGTAAACAAATAAATAATACATTTTTTATTAAAAAAGAAGGAAGAATCTGGACAGGTTTGGAAAGTTGGGCTTTCGCGATTTTTATATGGAACTGACGAATTTTTCGGGCTTTGCCGCGTGAAGCGACAGTCTAAAAATGAACATCAAGACGTAAGTGCGCGTTTAAATCCTAAGTTACAACCAGGAGCAAGTAGAATATTGAAACTTTCACAAAGAGTGTCAAATGAAATGGAAATTGTAATAAATTCAGTGTTTTTACTGATAGGTTAACAATGGCCTCAACATGCACCTTTAAGCATGAATTTCCCCTTTCTTTGTAAAATTTCGCACTACTAATCGGGTGCAAGTAGGAACTGGAAAGTTTCACAAAAATTGCACGGGTGTTGATCCAAAGGTTGGGAAATTTTTTCGATCAAATCGCTGGAAATTATGATTTTCTGCTGCTGGCTTAAATCTGAACGAATTCGCACAAAGTGCGCTCTTATAAAGTCCTTCAAAAATTTTTATCAGTAAGTTGAAATTTGCACAAGATTTAGCAGGGCCTTAGAGCCAAAATAGTTATGAATTTTGTAGAAAATGGAAATAGTTCTGTGTTTTTTTACAGCTGAGTGAATGGAACGACGGTGAGAGTGAATGAAGCCACATAAAAGCGCACTTTTTTAAATAAAATTCGCAGGTACAAATTTGGCCCAAATTGGAACTTGAAAATTTTACAAAAATACGCAAAACCTGGAAATTAAATTCTATTTATTATTGAAATCACACAGAATCCTGATAAATTACTGCTGGGCACAGTAAAGTCTAAAAATGAGTATCCACGTAAATGCGCGTACTTAAAAAATCATAATTACTAATCTAGAGCCAGTAGGAACTTGAGAATTTCACAATTTGTAGGGCATACTTGAATCCAAACGTTGTGAACATTTTGTAGAAATTGAACCAAATCTTGATTATTTTCTGCTCGATAAACGCTGGACTAAAAATGAGAGTATCCTCACAACGGTGCACATTTTGAAAAAATGGGAATCATCTGCGGCAAGTACGAACTTGAAATTATTACCAGATCTAGCAGAAGGATGGATCACTTGCAAAACTTTTGAACTGATTTTTTATTGCTGGGTTATTGACGGTCTAAGAATGAACGAATCTCCAGAAGTTTGCGCTTTGTTTATAAAATTCGTAGGTACCTTGGCTAAGTTCAAACATGAAAGTTTCAAAATATCTAGCACACAATTGAATAAAAAAACTGTGAAATTTTTATTGAGATCCCAGGAATTCGGTTTTTTTTCTGCGGAGTTAACGATTGCCTAAAAATGAAAGTATCCAGACAAACGCGATTAATAAAAAAATTAGAAATGTCCAATTGGACGAACGTAGAAACTTGAAAAGTTAGACTCGATATAGTCCATAATTGTACCCAAAGCTCGAATATTTTTCGTTAAAATTTAATCGAAACTTCATTTTTTATTGCTGTATAAGTAAACTACGGTCTTGAACTAATTCATATAAAAACATGATTTTCTTGTAAAATTCCGAACTATTAGTCCGGAACAAGTCGCAACTTGGAAGTTTCACGGAACACAGCAGACACTTTCGTGCGAAACATGTGAAACTCGAATTACTTATTATCCTGAGGTTTTACTGTTGGGTAAACGATAGTATAAAAATGAATGTATCCACCATGTATCCATTAAAAAAATCGTAATTCTTAAGCTAAACCAGCCAAGAACTTGAAAGTTTCCCACTGTCGAGCACATAATCGTGCCTAAAGCTGGACAAATTTTCATTGAAATCACATAAAACGCTGATTTTTTACTGCTGGGGAAAAGACGGACTTTGAATGTCCGAATTTGCATCAATGCGCGGTTTCTTTTAAAAATTCGTAACTACTAATCTGAAGCAAGTGGAAACTTGAAAGTTTCAGAAAATGCAGCAGATACTTTCGTGCAATACTCGTAAAACGTTTATGCGAATTCCTCAAAATCCTGATTTTTTACTACTGTGTCACGATAGTATGAAAATAAGCGTATTCACATAAATGCGCACTTTTCGAACAAATTTGTGAGAACTGATCTGGCGCAAGTAGAAACTTGAACCTTTCACCATATTTATCGGATTCCTGCAAAGAACACAGTAAAATTTTGATTGAGATTGCACAGAATTCCGATTTTTTTGCTGCTGGTTTAACGATGGTCTATTAATAATAGCAGTCACACAAACGCGCATAATTTAAAAAAATCCTAATTCTTAATCCGGAGCAGGCAGGAACTTGACAATTTCACACGATTGAGTTCATAATTAGACCCAAAACTTGGAAAAGTTTCGCAAAAATTGCATAAAATCCAATTTTTTTCTGCAAAGTAAATTACGGTTAGTTATAGTGAACGAATTGATATAAAAACAGAAATTCCTTGCAAAATTCCTAATTAGTAGTCTGGAGCAAGTAAAAACTTGAAATTTTCAGCAAATGCAGCCGAAACAGTTTCGCAAAACTGGTAAAACTTTTATTCAAATTTCGCAAAATCCTGATTTTTTCCTTCTGGGTAAACCAGTGCTGAGACTAAGAGTATCCACATGAATGCGCACTTTTCTTAACAAATTTGTGAGAGCTGATCTGGCGCAAGTAGGAACTTGAAAAACCGCACAGCCGGATAGAATAGTAGTGAAATTTTGATTGAGATCGCATAAAATATTGAGTTTTTTTGGCTGGCTTAACGATGGACTAATAATAAAAGCTTCCAAGTAAACTCATCGCATAATTAAAAACATCGTAATTACTAACCAGGAGCAGGTAGGGACTTTGCGAGCCTTTCTTTAAAAATTCACAACTGCTAATCTGGAGCAAGTAGGCAAACTTGAAAATTTGACAAAGCACATCCCAAGCTTGCATGAAAAACATGTAGAACTCTTATCCAAATCGCTCTAAGTCCTTATTTGTTACTGATGTGTAAACGATGTAAAATCGAACGTAAATAGGCACTTTCAAGATGGTCCTCTGAAGACGCAAGTCACTTGTGTTGGAGAAACGTTGGGAGCCAGCACCAATTTCAATCACTTGCCACTAAAACCTGCTCGATACATTCTGTATATGGAAGGTATTACAGGAATGTGATCTCATGGACGATTAATTTAATCAGCTGCCAACCATGGGCTAATTTGCATTAGAGAACATGTTTATTTCAGCGTGTTGCAACCGGCTGAAGAACATGAGCCCCGCCTGTGGTTAATTAGATTGGGATTTATCGGCCATTTGTTCTAGATTGGGAATAAAAGCGAAATCTATAACATTGTGTTTGCTGCGCCAGCTGCATTTCTAAGGCCCCCGCCTGTATTAATTACCTTCAATCGATATAAATTAAGTATAGACACGTTTTTCATTAAAGTACAAGTTTCGACTAAAAATTCATTAGATTCTGCCTGATTTATCATGGAAAAATGTGGATAAAACGAAAGGCAGCAGTGCGAGTTGCACGTATAGAAAATACATTTGTCTGCAGACATCCAAAGAACAATGCTTCGCAACTTTTGAGCCACAGTCTGGAAACAAAGTTGCGCGTAATCTGGACTATGAATAGCACAGAATAGAATATGCCTGATAAGTGCACATACAAGCTCGAGGAATTTAAAAGTTGCTTTGCTCGCTTTTCTGGACCTGGAAAAACTTTCCTGGATAACGGCATTAATGTGATGATAAACCTAACACTGAAAACGGCCCATAAAAATAGCTGGACTAGCTTCGATTTATAATCAGAAACAGTGCTTTAGCACGATTAATGTCGGTGTCTGGACCGTATTTTCCCGGGATTATTGTGCGCGGTAAAAAGTACCCGTTTGCTAAATGAAACCGGGAAAATGAGCTGATTGTGCCCGGTTATGAAAACAAAAATTGAACTGTACAGGATTTGACTAAGGCTCGGAAAAGCATTCAAGCCAATCGCATTAAAGGATTTGCTGCTTCTGATCAATTCTTATTATAAAGAGAATCGAAACTGTTTCAGATCCAGCCGGGCTCTAAGTAGCTTTACGCCTATTCAAACTTCCCGGATTTGGTTCGGAAAACGGGTCTCTTTGTCTTAGATAATGGCTCAATGTTCATTGTTATACTTGGAAATGCCACTCTGCTGGACCAGTTAGTTTTAGGTCACAACTGTTAAAATAATCTAATTTTTACAGCGTTGGAAAAAAGTTTAAAGCCAAAACAAACAGGCTTTTGAGGGTTTGCCATCGGGGTTTCACCCTGTATTTACACTCTAACTTTTCGTTTTCGGGGCGTATGACTGTGGCAAAAAACAATAAACGAGTGAGCGTAAATTGGAAACTTTCTGGAGCTAATTATTGCCTATTTCGTAGCTTGGGAAACTTTAAGCGATTCATTTCGCTAGAGAAACCGCACGTTTTATTTCTTTGGGTTATAGTAAAAAATTACTTGTTGCTCAACTTTTGAAAGTTCAAATAAACGGGACATTTTGCTCGAAAAACGCGCAAAAATATGGAAGCAGCCAATAGAGGTGAATTGCTAGAAGAAGCTTCATTAGACTTTTCACCTCCTCGTTTCCTTTTCTCCGGCATTTTCCGTACCCGTTCTGGAATCTCTAGTTTTTTTTTTGAAACTTTTCCAGATTTTTTCGCCCAGGAATTTCCAATGACGGAAACTCTCATCCATTGATTAGTAAAGTTGCGAATTTCAAAGCTTTGATGCTCCTGATGAACAAAGATGTTGGATTTTAAAAACTAAATTTTTTACGCGGTTCTTTCTGTTGGCCGAAGATCGACTTATCTTTATTTAAGATCTGAGGCAGCATAAGAGTCACTTTTCCTTGCATTTTGTAGGCACAGCTTCTTTCATAAGTAGCAAACGTTTTAGCTTTCAGTCATCATCAATCAACTTTCCTCAATTTTTTAAAGCAGCATGTGATTTGGACAGATTTTTAGGCAAGTCGAAGTTTGACATTAATTTTCTCAGGAACCTGCAAAGCTAGAGAGCCGCTTTTGCATCAAATTTATAGAGAAAATCCTGCCGTATAAGCGAAAAATGATTCAATTTTGACTCATTTTCCAGGAATTTTTTTAAATTTTGCTTGCATGTTGTGTTTGCTTATGTACGCCGGAGTTTCATAGCTATCTCTTCAGAAACCAGTCACTGTTCAGCGTGAATTTCTCCTGGATTTTGTTGACTCTAATCTGTCTTATCAGAGCGTAAAAGTTTCGATTTTGAGTCATCATCAGGGTATTTTCAAGATTTTACAAAGTTTACGGTTGAAATTTGTGATTGCTTATGCCTGCATAAGTTTGGAATTTATTTCCTCAGAAATCAGTAAAAACAAATATTCAGTTTTTAGTGTGTTTTGTAGATCAAGGAAATATGTTTTATATGCGAAAAGTTTCCATTTTTCGCAATAGTTAAGTAATTTTTTACATTTTTTGAAAATTCAATCAAATAGAGTTTTGTGGCTATTTATGCAGGACGAAGTTTGACATTTATTTTCTCAGAACACAGAGAAGCAGTAAATTCACTTTTTTATGTGCTTTCTAGGCCAAAATCAGTTTGAGCTGCGGAAAAAGTTTAAATTTTCAGTCACAGTCAGGCAATTTTGTTGTTGTAGAATGTGTGGTTGTTTATTCAGGCCTAAGTTAAGCATCTATTTTCTCAGAAACCGGTGAAGTCGTAGATTCACTTTTAAAACGTTTCGTTTTTGAGTCATCTTCAGGATGTTTTTGAGAAGCTTTTCAAGCTGTTCTTGTAGGCTAAAATAAATAGTAAATAAATTTTCTCAATAGAAAACAAAAACTGATAACAAAATCTATTGCCTAAAAACGTATTCTCAGTCCACACAACTCGAAGCTCCAGACATTATCGACAAGCAAAAAACGTTCAATATTATCTCTCTCAAACTGTCCATTAGAGCCAAAATGGTCTTTTTCTAAATATCCCCTCTTATCGGCCTGTAAGCTTGGAAACTTTGGAAAAAACCTCTTGCACGCCTCTGTTTGCTGGATTGTACTAAAACTTTTCCCGACTTTTCTAACAAATAATTCCCTATAACTCCTTTCAATCGATTAGTAAAGTTGCGAATTCCAAATTAGGAATGTTTCTAAAACTCCCAAGAGTTTAGCGTTTTATATTGAATTTTTTTGAGCTTGTTTAATTATACTCAAGCTTTCTCTTAATAAAAAAACGAATACATTTTTAAAAAAATAAGTTTTTTCAGGGTTTGCTTTCCTGAAAAATTGAACAAGACGCAAATTAGAAGAAGGTTATTAACAAGAGTTATAAAAATGTAAATTCTATCCACTCATACCGGAGTTTAAGTCGCTAATTAATTGTATTTCAAAAAAATTTGGAACCAAAATAATTACATTTTTGTTGTGTTTTAAATGAATATTTTGAAAGCAAAAAAATCCTGAAAATAACGAACTTACAGGCGATCAAATATGGGAAGCCTCAGTATTAAACACCTCGAAACACGGTTTGGCTTAAATTTTCCTTAGTTTGCTATCGATTTGGATTTTTTTTAAAACACAAAAAATGAAAGGTTTTTACCTTTAAAACGAGTTTTAAATGCAAAAAAACTTCTAAAAATAAGGAAGCTACGGGCGATCAAAAACTCGAAGCTTCAGTTGAAAAAACTTCGAAGCACTGTTAAACTGAAATCTAACTCAATTTATATCTTATTTGGATTTTTCTAAAAAAAGAAATAAAATAATCTTTTTGCCTTTGAAATGAATTTTTGCGATGCGAAAAATGCCTAAAAGTTATTAAAAATATCGAATCTACGGGCGCTTAAAGGGTGAACGCTTCGGTATAAAAAACTTCGAAACACTGTTTGGTAAAAATGTAGCTCAGTTTGATTCCGATTTGGATTTTTGGAAAAATGAAAAACGAAACGGTTTTTGCCTTTAAAATGACAGTTTGAGATGCCAAAAATTCCTAAAAATAAGGAAGCTACAGGCGATCAAAAACTGGAAGGTTCARTTTAAAAAACTGCGAAGCACTGTTAAACTGAAATCTAACTCAGTTTGTCACCAGTTTGGATTTTCCAAAAGAAACAGACATAAGAATGTTTCTGCCTTAAAAATTAAATTTTCGGATGCGAATAATGCCTAACAATTTCGAACAATAACGAATTTTCGGGCGCTTAAACAGTGGAAGTCTCAGTGTGAAAAGCCTCGAAATACCATTTGGTAAAATTCTAGCTGTTTCATACCGATTTGAATTTTTCGAAAAACGAAAAAAACGAAAAGGTTTATGCCTTCAAACGAGATGTAAAAATTCCTAAAAATAAGGAATCTATAAGCAATCAAACAGTGGAATCCTTAAAATAAAAAAGCTCGAAACACTGCTTGGTTCAAATTTAGCTCAGGTTATCGTCGATTAAAATTTTTGAAAACACAAAAGTAAAAGAAAGCTTTTGTTCTTAAAATTCAACTCTCAGATACAGAAAATTTCGTTCCTAAAAACAACGAATATACAGGCGATCAAACTCTGGAATCCTCAGTATAAAAAACCAAAAAGCACTGTTTGGCTCAAATTTAGCTTAGTTTGTCTTTTTCTTGTTTTTGTGAGTCTTCAACAAACAAAGGGAAGAACAGGTATTTGTCTTAAAAACGAACTTTTTTGATGTAAAAATTCTTAAAGATAGTAAAAGTGCAAACAAACAAGTCCGGAAAATCTGAGAATTAGAAAACACTGTTTAGCTTCAAACGAGCTGAGTTTTTCATAGATGCAAGATTTTGAAAATAGGGGATTAAAAAAAACTTCCTTGTTTCAAAGGCGTGCCAAAAATGCCAGAAAATTCATAAGATTACTGAGCTGTGAACAAGTAAGCCTGAAAAGTCTCATAATAAGAAATCATAATAAGGAACAGTAAATAACTCCAAAACACTTTTGGGCTTAGGTTTTTTTTTTCAAAAACACCATTTTTTTCAGCTAATGAGTTTTTTAGATGCCACCTTTTCCTCTAGGTTGCAAAGCTACAGACAAAAGTGTTTTTATCGACTATGCAAAAAAGCCACAGTTTGAAGAAGCTTGAACAACAGGCAGACTTTGGCGCTTATGAGGCGAACTAGGGCAGAAATAGAGGAAAGCTTGCTCAATTCCGGCCATAGGAATTAGGAAAACTTGTTATTAACTTAACGCGAAAAATCTTCCATGTTTGGTGCAGATCATAGAATCGAAACGCTATTGGATATTGGTTCAGGCCCAAAATTTCCCATAGTAAACATTTTCCCATAGTAAATTCCCAATGTGTCCATTCTTCGGCCATCCTCGATAAATCAGGCCGGTTTTCGGCCATTAGATTTTACAAACCGTATATTTCAGTTATGGGCCGATAATCAGGCTTGTTTATTATCGGAATCCTTTCGCTCCAACTATTAATAATTACCTAGACCCGCCCTAATTTCCTTTGACCCATAAATCTGTTTGATAACTTGCGGGTTAAATTTTGAATAATCCTTATCAGCGATCCATCATTAATAGATCGATGTTTAATTACTTCAAAGTGAGTCAGCAGTCTATTTATTGGGGGGATTTGTTTGGCACAATCAGCCGGAATGGGGCGCTGTTGCTCTAGGTGGGAGCCTCAAGGCGAGCATGTTTAGTTATTCAGCTAGCGGTTTATTCCGAGGGGAGCTAATTCGGCTAATTTGACGCCGACTGCTTCCATCATTAAAAGCCGCTTGTTTTGTGGAAACGAACTTTCCAGCCTAATGAGCCGTTTTGCCTGATAGCGAAGCCTCTACGAAAGCAGTCAAAACCTACTCAAAAAGGCCTCAAATGCACTCTATCTAAGCCGCAAGCTCAACAGCACTGTAAATGCACTTGACACCCCTCAGAGTACTGCTTAACTACTTTGAGAACTTCGATTCAATTTAAAAAATTTCAAAAATTTCAAAAAAATCAATTAAACTTTTCCCTGGATGGGCACCACTCCATTGGGGAGTCAAGTGAACTCTTCTACTCGATTAATTCGACTCTACAACTGAAACTTTGAGCTACAGCATTCCAGGCAATTATTACCTGGTGTCGTACTGAGTTTGTGGCGGTTGTTTGGGTTGGTTGGGATGGTGGGAAACGGTTGAGGGTATGAGTAATTGTTCATGTTATCTGGTTTATGAGTGACTGGAGGTTCGGTTTGATCCGGGATTTCAGTATGAGGTGTATCTGGAAAAGAGGCGTGTTTTGGCCAAGCAGTTTCCCTCCACTCAAACCAGCTTACGTGACACAATCAGCTCGAACTCGGAGCTCTCATTTTCGCTCATGCACGTGTAAATGCCCATGTCCTCTTTGCGGATTTTCGTGAAGATCAATTGGACCCCATACATGGTCACTCTGGACATCGGATTCGTCCTGTCGCCTGCAATTGGAAAGGTTTGTTGATCAATTTGTCTAAATTAGTGAGTTAGTTGGGGAATGAGGACATTCTGCCTCAAATTATTTGATCTTCACCGGCGGAATCTTCGCATTTGGCTCCTATGTTTAATTTAGAAGGTTTCGTGTCCCTACAAGTTTTTTCGTATCTCACTAGGGTTTGGAGATGGGATTGATTGATGAACAGAGGCAAACTGAGAGGTTTTTTTGGAGATATTTATTATCTACTTTGTAGTTTAGAGAGATCAGATGTTTGCTCACTGATCAAATCGAATAAATGCGCATGTAAAAATCTCGAGATGTGTTAATCGTGGGCAGCCTGATGGGAGCCTTTCAGCTTTCATCAGCCTTTACAGGCTAAACAACCCAAGAAAGGACGAGCAATAGTGCAAGCCTTTGCTGCCTTTTCATTCTAAGGGGTGGGAAAATCAGATTTTTCCAACTGAAGTCAACTTCCCAAAATCCGAGTAAACCGGAGTTGAAATGTCTGGTTAAAATTACAGTTTCTTCTCTAAAAATGAGTGTTTCTAGGTCCCAATTTCACCCAACATTGACGAGCTGTTTTACCGATGGAAATAATCAGTTTAGAAAAAATTTGAGWAGCAGGATTAGAAAAARAGCCGAAGACGTGGTGCACACGACATACAATCATCTATTCCTATACAGGGTGTTTTACTTAAGGAGGCCGCCAGCCATATCTCGGAAACTACTGAMTTRRAAAATTTGGGGAGAAAATTTTCGTCACTAAAGTGGCCAAGGCAAAACTCTGGAAACGTTAAGTTTTTAAGTTCCGCGTTCYACCGCAAGGTGCGCAACTGAAGCACAAAWCTTAAAAACCTAAGCTTATCAGAAAATTCCCAAATTAATGCCTCCGTTTAGTACTCTAGATAGAAACCCTGKCAMATTCTSGGTCATTTTTGTTCAAGGCTCGTTGACGTGGCGACTTTGATAAGAGTAGGGGAAATCATTGCAAGTTTCAACATTTAACTGCCTGTAACTTTTCAACCACCTGCAGTATTTCAATGATTTTAAGCTCGTTTGGAAGGGGAATGCATGTAATTTTCACGTTCGTATAGAGTGAAGCGCGGCAGCCCTAAACAACCTGGCCAGAGGCATCCGTTTTTATCAATAAGCATCCAAAAACTTCTTTTGGMAATAACTCTGATTCACTAAAGATATCCAGCTGCGGTTTTCCCTTCTTCTAGTGAAAAAGTAGGTTTCCTGCGTCTTAATAGCTTATTGTTAAAATTGTTGAGTTGCAACGAAAAAACTGTTATTGTCACAAATTGCGCTCTCCAGCAATGTTGTTTAGCACTTTCGGGCTGCGTGCGATACTACTAGTGAAAAACCCAAACATTTCGCCTCCCAACAAGCTTCAAATGATTGAAATCAAGCAGGGGGTTTGAAAGTTACAGCAATTTTAACTTTCCTTTGCCCACTCTTGGAAAAATTTACGTTGCTTGATGCTTAACTTGAAAGCATTCCGATTTTGCGATGACCACTTAAGCAACGAAAAATTTTCCGAAAGTTTCCAGGCCCAGTACTGAGGCTCCAAAAACTTTTAAATCAACTCAAAACATACCCAAAGGGCGATTCTTCGGTCCTCGCCACATCACTTTCGATCCTTTCTCCTTATCCTTGCACATTACGCTTAAACTCTGCTGCTCCTCCCGAACGGCCGTCTGATGCGTCAGATACAGTTTAGCCGTCGTAAAACCTGCAACCAAATTAAAAAAATTGCATGAAACTTTCATAGTCCTGATTTATTGGCAAGCAGGAGATTGCAGGCGATGCATCAAGCTTAGAGCCAGCCATCCATCGCTCATTACTGTCACGAGCAAGACAATACTTGAAAAATTTGCTTTTGCAGGAATTATTTTTGTACGCTGCATGCGTAGCTGCTGCTGTTGGAAAAATATTGGCTTATCTCGGATTACGGCCTTCGTGCCAAGATTGATGGGCCTTAAGTTGAGCGTTTTAGAAAAACATTTATCGATGTTTGCAGATAGTCAAGCGTGATGCAAGATTAATGGTGAGCCTTTTTCTGTTCTTTGGTCTGCGACTCTATAAGTGCACACTTTGTACAAATCTAGTTTTTTTAAATGCATACTTTTTGTGGCGAATACCAGAGTTTTTTTAAGGCGAACTGAAACCTGCAATTCCTGCAACGATTTAGGCAATAACGACTGGCAAAACAGGATCCTATTTAAGGATTCTTTAATCAGAGCGAGGGCAATTAAACCGGTGTAAGTGATATTAAACGAGCCCATTCCTCCTGCTACCCAAACGGGAAGAAGCGCCCAGCATAAATAGTTACCGAATAAATGAGTCCATTTTTCACCACATTTGTTTCGTCGTTTTTTCCCCTGGCCGGGTTCAAGAAGCAGAAATATAAAATGCACACTTTGCCATGATTAATGTGGCCGAGTCTGTTCCGCTCTTATTTCCTTTATTTTGGGTAATTTGATTTTAAAATTCGACTTCTTCTGGATCGCTCACTTTGCGTGCGTGCGGGGGATCGGCCGAAATGGAAATTCTATACACAACATCCACGTCCCTGCGGACTGAGCGATTAGTCAAGGGATTTATGGCGATCGGGGATGATACCAGTTGGAGAAAAACGGGTCATTATTCTTCGATTTCATTTTGAATTGATCTGTTTGAGCACGCGTGGGTCCACACAGTCAGATTATGTCAAAAATATAAAACACATTTAATGTCCTCTACAATCAATGTGTTGCAAGAGTACTTTTCTTTCCGTAAGAAGTGCCTTTCCTTCCCCATTAGGGCGTATATGTAATCAATTTTCGAAAAATTGTCGCGCGTTGGGCGGCGGATTTTTTTGTGCGGAAAAGTGAAAAAATGCTGACAACAGTGCTTCAGACAGAGAAAAATGTTTTCCGATCCCAGCAGCGTCTGATTTTTAATAAGCTTCCAAACCTGAGTCTTACTTACAAGCCTTTATCCAACTAGTCCTACAGTCTAAACAAGAGCACCCCGCGACTTGCAATTTCTACGTGCAAAATTAGATCAATTCAGCTTCGCAGAAGAAAAATTTTGTTGAAATCAAAGAATTGCCTGAGTTTTCAGAAGCATCCGAACTTGAGCCGGCAAACCCGCCGTTGGTGCAACTTAAAAGCCTCCATCCAAATAGCACTGGACTCGAAACAAGAAGATGCAGCTACTTGTAACCTCTACGTGAAAATGGTGCATGATTACGCTTTGCACTAAAAGAATTTAGTTAAAATCCAAGAATTGTCTGATTTCTGAGAAGCTTTTGAATGGGAGCCGGCAAACCCACCGTTGGTGGCACTTCTAAGCCTCCATCTTAATAGCCCTGCCCTCGAAACAAGAAGACGCAGCCACTTGCAACTCTCACGTGGAAAAGTCGCATAATTGTCCTTCGCATTGACAAAATTTGATTGAAATCCAAGAATTATCTGATTTTTGAGAGCTTTCGAACTGTAGCCGGTAACTGCGCTGTTCACGCCACTCACAGGCCTCCTTAAAAATATATCTGCACTTTAAAGAAGAACACGCAACAACATGTAACTTCTACGTGAAAAAGCAGTGTAATTGGGCTTTATATGAACAAAATTTCGTTGGAATTCAAGAATTGGCGGATTTTTGAGAAGCTTTCGAATTTGAGTCGGCAAAACCGCTCTTGATGCCACTTAGAAGCCTCCACCCAAATTGCCCTGTACTCGAAACAAGAACACGCAGCGACTTGCGATTTGTAGGTGGAAAAGTAGATTAATTTTCCTTTACACGAGAAAAATTTCGTTGAATCCCAGAATTTTCTGATTTTACAGAAGCTTCCGAACTTGAGCCGGCAATTCCGCCGTTGGTGGCACCTAACTAGTTTGGTTTTTCAGAAACTCATCCTACTTGAATATCAGCCAACCAGAACTTTTTTACGGAACTGCCTCATGTTGATTTTTCAAGAAAATAAGGCAGATTAGCAATGGAAGTCGCAAAACGTGCTTTATTTAGATAGCAGACACTCGTGCCCATCCAGTAGGCCAAAATGAAAAATGTTGGATGTTTCTGATTCCGAGGAAATAATGGTTAAACTTGGTCTAAAAGTAAAGGAGTTTTTCGGCCAACCCAAACGAACCAATTTAGCTCGAAGTCAGCCAATTAAAAAAAAAACGTCGTTTATTTGATGAAAGTTTTAGAAAGTCTGAAATTTTCTTCCAGTAATTTCTTCTAGCCGCATCTTGATCTGACAACCCCGGAATATTTTCAGTTTCTCCACCCGATTTCCAGACACTTCGTATACTGCGACGTGAAACATGCTGCCAGTTAAGCCTTGGCTTGCAGAAGTTGCGAATTTTGCCTCAAATTTTAACTTTTCCTTATTTCTGTTGCGATTTAATTCCAAACTTGTCCTAAGACAGTTTTAATTGATTTTCGCTGGATTTCTCCAGACGTATCTGTGACTAAGGGCCCAAATTAAACAATTAGGCCGAACTGAACTTGACTAGAGCCTGAAAGTTTAATTTTCGTTTGGCGCCCCCATCTTCGATGCTGCAAAGAATGCGCAATTAAATTTCCCCGGCTGATTTTCTGTTTGAATTTTGTAATTTCGTTTTTTTCTTTAGCGAATTGTTGGGACTTTCGCGCTCGAAACCATCCTGCCACCAATAGGGTAAAATGTTTGCAAAATGTAACAAATCCAGCTCGAAAGGCGCAAATTTGCTTTATTACCGTCGAGAGACTCCTGTTTGTATGGGGAAATGATGCGAATTTATTATAATGGGTATTTTACAGCGGCATAAATCAGAAAAATGCGTTATGGCAATCTCGTCGAGAACAATGAAAATACACGACAATATTTTCAGGAGAATTTTCCAGCGGCTGGAACTGCAATCGGGCATTTCGTTTACGGATTAACAGCTGCGAACTGCTGGCAGGATTCAAATGGAACATATCTGGAGCGATACTTTGGGCACGTTTGCTGCACATCTAATTCTTCTGTTTACCACTGGCACAGGCTTTTCCTCCATGAACCAATCCGACACAGGAATATTTCAGTTGGCCAATTACCAGCGCTGAAACATTGCAAACAGGCCGTTTCAGATGCAAACATTTCTCCAAACCACAATCCCATCAAAGAGCCTGCAGTTTTTCCTGCCTGCATCTTTCGCAGTTACTTTGAGCCAAGGAGTTGTACAAAAGATTAAATTCTTGCCATCGTTTGAACAATTTAATAAACGCCCCGCTATTCAAAGGAAACAAAAAGATTCTTACATTCAAGTGTTCCCAGTTCCCAGTTACTTTTACAGGAGTCGGAGCTTTCAAAGGGAAACTGATCGAGTAGGGAAGCAGGGGCTTTTGACTTATTACCGTTTGTCTGCATTCTTCGGACGTCGGACCAAATGGTCAACTGCTGGGCAATTGATTTTTTTCATCCACACAGGCAGGATTTAAAAGAAAAGTGACTTTGTTCTCAACTGGAGATTTTTATATTCACGATAAAAATAGTTAAGGCTCGACAGCATTGAGAATGTCTGGTCTCTGTTTTACACGAATGATTAGGAAGCTGATCTAATTCAACATCGATTAATCTCAATTAGCTGCGATCGCGTCCAGCAGTCCCGTTGTCCTAAATTCGGGACATGGATTATTTCCATGATTTAATTCGGCCGGGTATAGACAACCCGAAGTTTCGCTGCATCCGGAATTAATCACCAGACAATTACTGTTCATTAATGAGTTGATCCAACTAGAAAAACTAAACGGTACAAGCAGACTTAACCATTAAGTAACTTAACTTTAGCCCATATTATTAAATTTTGCTTCGAAAATATCAGATGCCTCCGGTATAAAACCAGATATTTTCTGAGTTGAGTAGCACCCAAATGGAAACAGCCCAACATCAAATTGGCAATAAAAATGGAAAGAAATTGCGACAATTATACAAAATATCAGCACTTATAAAACCAAAGTTTCTCTATTCAAGGGCGTGGTCCCTAAGAATCTATCTGTTTTCGTTTTAGAGAAATTTAATTTGAACTGTGCCTCGACGCACCAGGAACTTTTTCGACCAAAACCGGAAATTCAATTTTATGCAAAAAATCGGCAACATGAGCCCCACAAACATAAAAATGCCAGATGATAGATCAAAACCTCCTTTGTTCAGTGGCGTCACGTGCCATAGTTTTACTCGACTGGTTCTGAGAAATTAATTGCCAAGCTGGTCTGACCACACAGGAATCTTTTGAAAAACAGAAAAATTCAACAGGGCCCAAAAATCAGCGCAAATTAAGTTGCAGGAAACCGAAAATTGGCCCTAAAAGCACTAGACACAGAAAAATCGGGTCTCAATTGGTTGGGTCAAATTTAATAACATGCTTAAGGGTTATTCGCCGTCTTAACCATGATCTATTAAGAAGATAAATTTCCCATTCAAACTCAATTTTCGAGTTACTAACTAGATGCAAAGAAAACGTCGATTATTTGTTTAGAGGACAGTCGATATGCGTGGAAACTTTGAGTCGTCGAAACTCAACAATGGATTCTCATTAAAAGTTGTGCAGAAAAGCAGTGCGGATCATTTCCGAAGGAGCAGCGCTTAATCAGAATGTAAAAGTTAATGTAAAACGAGTTCCGCAATCTGTTCTTGGGAATCGAAGGCCTGACTAACAAGTTTCCACAAGTGCAGCAAAGTTGAGCTCCAGCCGAAAAATGAACTTCAATTCGGTCGAGTTTAGG